CGTAAGTAACAACTAGGGAAAACTCTCCTGGGTGACGTCCATAATAAGGAGTAGGGAAAGACCTTGTGTTTTATTTCAAACTTATTACTGTAGCTTTTAAAAAAATAGATTACTAAAGGTTGTCCTTGTGTAGTGGAATTTAGAACTGCAGTATATACACTAGCCAGCAGATGTCAGAATGGTATCTCTTAAGACTAAAGTATGAGCATACAGTAAATAACCAGTTTCTGAAAGGACTAAAAGTTTCTTTTTCTTCTGTGCACAACACACTTTGATAATACTGGTCTTTCTTCCTCAGCACATTTGCTCTAACACTTTTCCAAAGACTCCTCACTCTTTATCTGGCCAATTCCTATTCATCCAAACCTTACTTTATGTGTCTCTTCCTAAGGGAGCCCTCCCTGCTCTCTCCCCAACCAAATAGGTTAAGGCTCCCCTATTCCATATTCTCACAGCTATCTGTATTTGACTCTCACAACAGTTTATATGGTATAATATAATGAAGTAATTAGTGATAAATTATGTAATATTTCACTGACACCCCTGCTAGATTGTAAGCCTCTTTAAAGGATAGAGATCATGCCTGAATTCTTCTCTTCTGTATTCCTCACCCACCACGTTGCCTATCCCACTGTAGTCACTGAACAAATATTTGTGAATATGAAGACCTTGCTTCATATTTGGGAGTATTTTTCTGAGGCCTGGACAATAAGTTGTATCCAGAAAGTCAACATTTTCCCCCCTTTAATTCAGCCCCAGTTGACTCCATTTCAAGAGTTTACAAAACTAAAATTTGCTACGGCTCTTTACTATTTCACATTACATATTCAAACAAACTCTCTCTCTCTCTCTCTCTCACATACACACACACACACACACACACACACACGCATGCACAAATGATCTCCAACTATTTTCTTATGTACTATTTCAGAATTGTCTTTTCCAAGTATTGAACCCCTCAGTGGAGTTTATAGCCTGATTTTTAAAAAGCTAGCCACAAAAACTGAAACATCACATTCTTATTCCACTCTGAACTGGAATCCAGGGTAACAATTACACTATTTTCCCTCAAGAAAAGTACTTGTGGATAGAGTACAATAAAGAAACATTAAAAATCCCCTAAGCTGGCCAGGTGTGGTGGCTCACAAGCCTAGCACTCTAGGAGGTTAAGGCAGGAGGATTGCTTGAGGCCAGGAGTTTGAGGCCAGCCTGAGAAAGAGCAAGACCCGTCTCTAAAAAAAAAAGAAAAAGAAAAAAGAAAAATTAGCCGGGTGTGCTGGCCAGCACCTGCAGTACTCACTACTGGGGAGGCTGAGGCAGGAGGAACATTTGAGCCCAGGAGTCTGAGGTTGCAGTGAGCTATAATGACACCACTGCACTTTAGCTGGGGCAAGAGAGTAACACTCTGTTTCAAAAAAAAAAAAAGCATTGGCCAGCTATTTATTAGCTACGGAAACCTTCAGAGTTTCAACCTCTCCATCTATAAAATGGTATTAATATTGATTGGTTAAAGCTTTATTTATTTATTTGAGACACAGTCTCACTGTGTTGCCCGGGCTAGAGTGCCATGGCATTAGCCTAGCTCACAGCAACTTCAAACTCCTGGGCTCAAGCGATCCTCCTGCCTCAGCCTCCAGAGTAGCTGGGAGTACAGGCATGCGCCACCATGCCCAGCTAATTATATATATATATATGTTTTTTTTAGTTGTCCAGCTAATTTCTTTCTATTTTTTTAGTAGAGACGGGGTCTTGCTCTTGCTCAGGCTGGTCTCGAACTCTTGAGCTCAAATGATCATCCCACCTTGGCCTCCCAGAGTGCTAGGATTACAGGCGTGAGCCACCATGCCCAGCGAGGCTGTTTTTAGATAATGAATTTAAGTGATAATTTTGAAGTCTGTATATAATTAGAGGATAAGCATGCTATCTCTTATGATCTGGAAATATCAATGAAACCTATTCATGCAGTGAATGCTAAACAAATCACTCCTAAACACCTAACACCAGCCTAATCATTCATAGCTAACACTTACCAAAAGTCAAGCAATTGTGACAACTGTTCTACTTGCATTTTCTCACTTAATCCTTACAATACTTTCAAGTAGACAGATGTTTCTATTATTCTTACAGTTGAAAATGACATTTAGGGTTTCCCTTGTTGAAAATTATTCATCTCATACGTGTTGGAGCCAGGATTGAAAGTTAAGTCTGCCTGTCTTTAGAGCCAGTATTCATGACCACAGTGTTATATACTACATCTCTCCTTAAGTAAGAAATGGATATAAATCACTAACATGAAACACAAAACCACAGGTTCTATCTGGGTAAAGATGGTGGATTAGCACATATATCTACTTCACTCCCTCCGGAAATCCCATTAAATGATAGTAGGAGTTTTTGTTTTAAGGTATATACCTAAAAGTATACGTGAAGAGAACAGGAAGAAACAAGAACAAAAAGTTAGAAGACAGGCCAAGAGTAAATAATGTAGTAGATTTAAGAAAACTGAATTCTGAACCAGTAGAGGGAAAAGCAAAACAAACAACCCCCGCTCCACACAACTCAATTTATATCATAGAATCCCTAAAAGGCCCAGGAACTGGTGGTTTCAGGTGCCTCTGGAAATAAAGGGTGAAGGGGCAGACACCTGAATTGGTTTAAATAATCAAGGTTTAAGAAATCAGATGTTCTCTGCCACTCTACACAGCAAAGCAGTTTCTCTTCCCAATGAATCCTCTAAATTAGAAGTTTATTTTCCAAAAAGGGTAAAATATAGGGTATCCAGATTGCGGGATCCCAGGTAGTTTGGGCAGGAATATTATACTCACAACACAGAGACTCAGTAAGTAAATGCATGTTGGATATGGATATTAAGATACACACATCTCTCTGCCCTGGGCCTTACCACAGACCTCTTTCCTCACTTGACTCCCAGAACATTGGCAAGGTGTCATTTCTCACTTGGGAGACTGAAAAAAATCTTTCTTCTCTAAGGAACCACCAGCTCAAAAGGAAATAACTAAAGATACTAACATAAAAGTTTTCTAAACTATTAATATATGGCCCAATAGAAAGCCCTTGAGCAAAGCTCAACATCAACAAGCTCCACCTACTCAGAGCCTGTACTCAATGTTAGTTCCAGTTCCCTATTTTTATTTTTTATATATATATATTTTTTAAGAGACAACGTCTCACTGTTGCCCATGCTGGAGTGCAGTAGCATGATCACAGCTCACTGCAGCCTTGCATTCCTGGGCTCAAATGATTCTCTTATCTCAGCCTCCTCAGTAGCAGCACATGCCATCACACCTGGCTAATTTTTCCTGTTCTTTGTAGAGACAAGGTCTTGCTATGTTGCCCCGGCTGGCCTTGAGTAGCTCCTAACCTTAAGTAATTCTCCTGCCTCAGCCTCCTGAGTCACTGAGGATAACAGACATGAACTACCACACCCAGCTCCTATTTTTTTTTTTTTTTTTGAGACAGAGTCTCACTCTGTAGCCCAGGCTAGAGTGCCATGGCATCATCCTAGCTCACAGCAACCTCAAACTCCAGGGCTCAAGTGACCCAGCTCCTATTTTTAAATATGAGCAGACAACCAACAATTACCAGATATCTAAGGAAGGCATCTAATATGAAAGAAACAAAAACAGAGAAAACCAGTTTTAGGTAAAACAGACTGGAGAAAAAAGAAGCCATCAGAAGTACTATCATTCTACAAAGAGAGGAGATGCAAAATGAAAGAAAATCATCAATAAAAACCTACAAAATTTCTGAGAACTAAGAGACACAAGTGTCAAGTTTAAACAGGTTCAGCAAGTACTGAGCATGGTGAATTAAAATAAAAAAACACCAAATTATGTCATCATGGAATATAAGAATACCAGGAACAAAAGATTCTTGTTTCTCAGGAAGAAAAACTTTAGTCCCACAAAAATATTAGACATCATTGACAGCCAGGGACAAAGGTGGAAAGCCTTAAAACTCTGAAGGAAAATGATTTGCAACCTAAAACTTTATATTCAGCAAACTATCAATCAAATCACTGCCTAGAAAAGACCAGCAAGGTTTTAAAAATGTTTGCTTCCTATGCCACCTTTCTCAGGACACTGCTGAAGAAAAGGTTCCATCAAAAAACAAGAGACTAAACCAAGAAGACAAGGTAACAGAAAACAAAAGATCCAACATGGGAGAAGAGAAAAAGAAATTCCCAGAATGATGGTGAAGGGAATTCCCACAATATAGCCACACATCAGGCACAGAAGGCTATCATATAAGTCCAGCCTGGGGCAGATCAAAAGGCTACGGGGAAGATTTATTCAGGAAGATGAAACAGAGCACCTAAGCTGGGCATTGTGAGAGATTTAGACAAATGGCAAGAAGTTTAGTTGATTTAGTGGAAAGTTCACACAAAACAGCCTAGGAAAAACAAAAAGACATGCCAGAAAAGAAAACCACAAATCTCACTTAGAATCGTAATGACACTGACCCAATCACAATCACATTACATTGTCCACTGGAAGGAAGAGATGACAAGTAAAAAAAGGTGAATGTAGTTGTCTCTGAGGGGAAGGTTAAGGACTCCCCAATAAACCTGGAGGACTATTTGACTTAAAAATATAGTATTTTTTCCTTTGGTAGTATTTCCTATACTCAGCATCATGTGGTAATGCTGCCTTTCACTAAAACTGCTTGTTAATAAAACACAATGCCACTTTATCAAGATAGCAAATTCTCAAGTCTAGAACAAGAGGAACTCAATGTAGCTTGTAATCATCACAATATCGTAAGAGTCTCACCAGTGATTGATGGTTTGCAGCAAAAAGCAGGATAAGAAAAATAGAAACTCATCTGGGAATGGTGGCTCATGCCTGCAATCCCAGCACTTTGTGAGGCTGAGGCAGGAGGACTGCTTGAGGCCAGGAGTTTAAGATTCTCCTGGGCAACATAGCCAGACCCTGTCTCTAGAAAACATAAAAAAAATAAGAAACCCAATTTTTTAAAATTGCTATGTTTATTAAAAACTAATGGTCCTGTGCTTAAATGTCACTGTGGTTGTGTGCTGACTTCCATAAAACATATATAATTAATTATAAGGGACTCTTCACAAATACATGCCAGACAGAAGTAAAAAGGTAAACAGAAATGACTGATAAGACAGTGCCATTTCAGACACAGTTCCCTTATAATTAACACTTGCTTGAAAATGGAGTTTGACATTACTAATTTACAATCATGCCAACATTCACAGAGGCCAAATATCACAGGCATAAAGGCACACCATGACCACAAGATGTCTTTCATTCTTCCCAAATAGTTTTATATTTTAGCTATGAAGGTCAGTTACCAGAGTCAAACTTGTTCTTAACAAGTAGAATTTTTATGTCCATTCAATCAAAGTCTCTTACACCTTTCTGGACCTATTCATTTGCAGATAGGAGTAGAAACTGAAACCAGGTTCTTCATATCATACATTCACATGTGATGTCCAATCTTCATATGCTGTCCAATTTCTTTAAGATAAAAGGAGCTGAAAGAAAAACAAATAAATCTAAAATTAGTTTTCAGATTTATTAATCCACAGGCTACATTACAGAATTTTAAGACTGGGGGGCAAAACAGGTTTAGCTCAACATATTTGACATATTTTTTTAAAAAACAAATCCAAGTAATGGTCAAATCTCTGCCTGCATAATTAAGCAAAAGGGGCTCACTGCCTTCCAAGGCAGTCCATTCAGTGTCACTCAGCTATGATTGTTATAAATTTCATTCTTGTACTGTACAAAATCTCTTATCCAGGTGGTTCTCCTCTTAGGGCCATAAAGTATAAATCCAATCCTCTTTCAAATGATAACCCTTTACCATGGTAATTTATTTTAACTGTAAAAGGAACAAAACTCTAGAGGAAACAAATGGTCACTTTTCACCTTATAGACTCATATAAAAGGTAGAGGATAGGGGAAAATAACACTGAGCTAGGGAACTAGAAGAGCTGGACACCTATTTTTGTCTTCTCTCTGATTAGCTATATATCACTTTTGCACTCCAGATCACATCTGCTAGTCTTATCTCAGTTATTATGAGGGTCTGATAAGATGGTGCATAGAAATGTCTAGAAAACTAAGAAGTGTAGTCATATGGATCTAAAGAAGTGATATTATTGTCCTGTGTAAAAGTGCTGTGGCCAGAAAAGCTGTTAGAATGACCTTCTTTCTCAATACTCATACTAACAGAACATTTTGTTAATATTAAACTGAAGATACTGAGATCTGTCAGAAGCTGATAAAGTCAGCAGTATAGCTACTCTTTTCTATTTCTTAATTACGGGAAAAAATCCATTAAATGATAAACAAAATGTAGTATATCCATACAATGAAATCTTATTCAGCCATAAAAAAGAATGAAGTTCTAAGATATGCTACAACATAGATGAGCCTTGAAAAAATTATGCCAAGTGAAATAAGCCAGACACAAAAGGCCACATATTTTCCAATTCCATTTAAATGAAACATCCAGAATAGACAAATCCACAGACAGAACGTAGATTAATAGTTGCCAAGAGCTGGAAAAAGGGGGAATTGGGGTGACAACTAATGGGTATGGTGTTTCTTTTAGGGGGAAAAATATCATAAAATTGATTATGGTGATGGCTGCAAAACTCTGACTATGCTAAAAACCACTGGTACACCTTAAATGGGTATTCAATTGTATAATATACACATTATATCTCAACTTAAAAGTGATAATAAACCACTTCAGGCTGGGCACCGTGGCTCACACCTATAATCCTAGCACTTTGGGAGGCTGAGGCAGGAGGACTGCTTGAGGCCAGGAGTTCAAGACCAGCCTGAGCAAGAGTCAGACTTCCTTTCTACAAAAAAAAAATAGCTGGTGTGGTGACATGCACCTGTAGTCTCAGCTACTGGGGAGGCTGAGGCAGGATAATTGCTTGAGGGCAGGAGCTTGAAGTTGCAGTGAGCTATGATGACACCACACCACTGCACTCTAGCCTGGGCAACAGAGAGTGACCCTGTCTCCAGCTTGCTCACTCACCCATCCCCCCCCAAAATCTGGGAGTTGTAAGAAGCTGTTCAGTGAAGATGATTTGGGTTTTTCTGTTCTCCAAGGCTCCCTCTCCTGGGGAACCAGAATAATACCACAGTGAAAGAGGCACTGCATAAGGGAGACTGTGGCATCAGTGGCTCTAGGCTAGGCCCAACATGAGCCTTCTGTAAGATGACGTTGGTATGGCCTTCACTTACTTAAACCATCACTACATCAACATCCAGACCAACCAACAATATACAGCATGGAACAATGAAAAGGATACTGAAATGAGACTGAGGAGATGGGGGCAGGTCACTCCTGAGATTTATATAAGTTAGGGAACTGATCTATAAAGCTGCTTCCAGTTCTTATATTCAGTGTGAATGTAACTGTTAGACTTTGCATAAGTCCCCTCTGAAAGATGAGTTGTCATTTGCAAAAGGGATATCTTAATCTTGCCTCCCTCCATTATCAAAAACAAGTAAATTAAGTAACTTTCTGCCAGCTGTAAAATCAGATAAAATCCCAGATATCTGCATTAATCCTATAGACTCACAGATTTTTCATTCCTTCATAAAAAAAAAAAACAAAAACCAATTTTTATGTCACCCTATACAAAGGAACAGAAATGAAGCAAAGCTGTTTCAATTTCAAAGGTCAGTACTGAAGGAATGGAACCTGGTATTGAGTTCTGGATTCTAGGTCAAGATCATTCACTGAATGGGTGAATGACCTTGGGCCAGCCATATCCCTACTCTGGTACTGTTTCTCTGTTTGCAAAACGAGGCAGTTGCTCCGGAGGTTATTAACCCTTGAAGCTCTTCCAGTTCAAATGCACTTGATGTTGGGAAGGCCAGAATGATTAAACACGCTCGCCAGGCTACCACCTGCACTTCAGTACCTCCTGCCTACAGACCTCAAATCGCACCTACGCCGATAGCTCTCGACGTGCACGCCCCTTATTCCCCCGCGACCGCTCAGCTTGGCTCCTCAAAGGCCCCTAACGGCCTGTAGGGCTAGAATGAGGTGGGCGGCGTGGGCTAGCTCCCTGCTGGTCTCAGGGTCACAGCACAGGAGGATACTCACTGACTCGCAGCAAGGCCACGTAGATGAGGAAGTTCCGTATGGAGGAGAGCACATCCTCGCGCATCTTCCGTTTCATCTCCTCCGGGTCCAGCTTCGGCGCGAGGCCCTCGATCCGGAACATCACGACTCTATCTCCCCAGCTTTCAGCCGCCGCGCTTTGCTCTTCTCAGTGCACGCCTCGCGCCCGGAACTCGGCCCAACCCCACTTCCGGTTCCCGCCCCTCGTTTCCACGCGCTGCACAACGGAAACCTGCGAGGGACAATCCGCGTCCTGACCGAGCCAACCTGGAGAAGGGCTGCCTGAAGGGGGCGGCCGCAATCTTCGCGACGCAGACTTGGGTTCCTGCCCCCACCCCACCCCCATCCCGCCGCCCCGTTGTTTCTTTGATAATCTCTGTCCAGCCCTCCCAAATGCTTTTATGCCCTGGAGGTACCACCATAAATAATGATAAGGCACTTAGGTACCACCATAAATAATGATAGCTAACTTTTATTGACTACTCCATACAATTGTACCCCATGAATTAGATATTATAATCTTCATTTTCTAGATGAGAAAACTGAAGCACACAAATCTTTAAAACAACAACTTGCCCAAATGTGCTTTGAAATACCTCAGAGGAAAAAAAGTGTTGAGGAAGAGTGATGAAACAATATTAGCAAACTATGAAAAACAACTTAATCTGGTGATTAGTGCATCATTTTAGTTAATTATTCTAATCTTTCTTGAAATTTTATGTGATAAGTTAAAACAAAAAGAAGAAGATGATGAAACTTGCTCAAGGTGACACAACTAGTAAATGGCAGAGCAGGGTTTTATAACTAGTTAGGCCTGTGGAACCCCAGAGACAGAGTTTTTAACATTTTCCATATTTCTGCTGTATTCTCATTTCTGGAGTTAACTGATCCTTACAAATTATCATATTGGCCCAGTGATACAGATGTACAAAGCGAATTTAAGTCTGATCCACATTTTACAGATGAGAAAGAGGCTCAGAAACCTAATCACTAAAATCTAAAGTCATTCTGCTAGCAATGTGCTGGGCCAGGGTTTTAACACAGATAATTATAATGTCAAAATGAGTTCTCTTTCCCTTCCCAGCACCCTACTGCTCCTCTGTTAGTCTTTAACAGTTAGTGCCTGCATGGATGGACATCCCTGGAGTCAAAAGGTAGGAGTTTGATACAACCAGATTTCCTGTCACAGACTCATCAAAACAGGGTTAGAAGGCTGCTGCTCCGAGTTATACATGCCAACTAGCCGTATGTAATTCTCACACATGAACCAGATGACTGAATTGTGCACATAATCAAAACCACAATGTTCTTTCTTGACTGCACATTACATAGCAACAATGGATCTTAGATAATTGAGAATAGTAATTTGCTATGGGAGCAACTGATAATAACTGTAAGCATTGTCACCCACCTTCCTGATTGACAGAATGTAAGACACTGGGGCAAGAAAGTGAACCCATGTTTATTCAAGCTTTAGTAACCTCTTGCATCTATAATTCATGCAGTGGAAAAGCAGAGGCAGTTCTGGAATAGGAAGGGCTGATTTCTAAGGAATAGTCTCCAGCCAACCCTTCTAGACTGTTTAGAAAGCCTATGCTGATGTTGGAAAGCAGCAGATGCTATGGAAGGAACCTGAACAGGAAAACTGGACACAGGACCTCTAGATCTGGCACTGTCACTAACTAGCCATGTGATGGGGGCCAAATCTCTGATTTCACTGCAACTACATTTCTCCAATTGTAAAGGAAAAGCATATGATTGGATGCTCTTGAAAGTCCCTTCCAGTTTGAACAGTCTATGCATTTTTAAAAATGTGTATTTTTAATTCAAATTGTGTCATCTAGGACTGTGGTCTGTGGCCTATTAAGGACCTGGCCGCAGAGCTACCCCCACTTCACAGAAGGAAAAATCTCCTTCCATGAAACCTGTCCCTGGTGCCAAAAGGTTGGGGACCGCTGATTTATGGTACATGTTATTTAATTCTCACAACAGTCCTGTGAAGAATATGCTAGGGCTTTCTGATCTGGAGTGCATGGCTATCAAAGTATCATCAAATGTGATCAGACATCAAAACAGCCAGTGTGTGTGTTTTCTGTGATAGGAAGAATGTAACAATAAGGCATATCTCATCCATCTGAATAGTGAGGCAAAAAGACTGGGAAGGAATGAGTTCTTACTGTGTGATTCTAGTAACTTAGTCCCCTAAAGTTGTCTGAGTTTAGATAAACAGTTTACATGGAATTATCAATTTATTTTTTACTGAGATGCTTTTGAGTAACTTGCCTGGATTCATAGGAAACCAAAGAGGGGAGAAATTAGCCAAAAATCATGTTTCTTGGTGAAAAGAACAAGTTTTCAGCATTTGATTTTTATCCATCCAATGCTAAATTAAAGCAGCACCTTTTTACCTGGCAGGTGATGTGGTGGCATATGTCTGGCCTGTTCAAGGACAACATTATTCTCATAACAATTCTCTTGGAAATGTCTGGTGCTTGCCTACCTATGGAGATAGAGGAAGGTAGTAGATAGAAATATGAAGCAGCTATGTCTTGGGGTAAGGAATTGATTTTGGATATAGTCTAGGAAGGTAAATTGTTCCTGTCTCAGAAATGTTCATTCTGCTAAACTCTCTCTTCCCCTGAAATGGCTCCTCTAGTTATAATGGAGGAAACTCATTAAAAGAGATTAGGTTCCTTTTTGGGGGCTTTTTAAAAAAAGTGCTGGCTGGGCGCGGTGGCTCACGCCTATAATCCTAACACTCTGGGAGGCTGAGGCGGTAGGATTGCTCAAGGTCAGGAGTTTGAAACCAGCCAGATCAAGAGTAAGACCCTGTCTCTACTAAAAATAGAAATAAATTAATTGGCCAACTAAAAATATATAGAAAAAATTAGCTGGGCATGCTTGTAGTCCCGGCTAATAGGGAGGCTGAGGCAGGAGGATCGCCTGAGCCCAGGAGTTTGAGGTTGCTGTGAGCTATGCAGATGCCACAACACTCTAGCCTGGGTGACAGAGTGAGACTCTGTCTCCAAACAAAAAAAGTGCTTATTTATTTGTTTGGCATATAGATGGTGGTATTGTCCAATTACAGTGAGTTTAAGTGAGGCAAATTGAAGAGAACATGCTTCAGGAAGTCAGCACTGGATGGAGCTGTTTCACATCCTGGACCCCTCAATGGGATGATGAAAAGGTAGGTCTAATCGTTAAAGTTGCCTGCAGCTCTAAAATGCTGTGATTCTGTGTTTATCCTTCCTGTTCTTCCTATGTAACCTTGAACTAAAGGCTAAGAGCAATGGATTTACTGTGATTTGCCATGAAAGGCAAAAATAAAAAGTATGCATGCATAATTTAATATTGATATTTGTATTATTTAGTCTAATCACAGAGGAAATGGCAGTTGATGTCATAGCCTGTCTTGTTTTCCATTTAGATCCCAAGAGGGATTAAGGAGCCATTTCCTTTGCCTCAACTTCTCAGACAGTACTGTACACAATCGTTCAGAAAGTACAACCTACCCATAAGAGAATTAAGTGCTTTAATTTCCATCAGTGGGGAGGAATTGGTATTTGCAGGGTCAGAAAGGACTGATGACTCATGATTGGGGAATAATAAAATCATAGGAACCTTGTGATGCCTAATTTATAGGGACCTACAAGCTTTGAATATTGTTCAAACCTCTTCATTTGGCAGATGAGGAAACTGAGGCCCAGAGGGAAGCTAGTTAAGAGCAGAGCTAGCTGGGACTAGGGTAGGTCTCTGGGCTCCCAGTTTAACATCTTTCTCCATCATATCTTGCTGCTTTTGTTTCTTTCAACTGTGAATATTCTCATTGGCAGTCCTCCCCTCAGAGGTAAGATTAGAACAATGGGGTGTTGTTAAACCCCAGTTTGGGAGGGATCAGATAAGGGTGGCTTCTGTTCATCAGTAGGCTGAGGGCAGTCTTTCTTTCCACATTTCCACACCTACAATCAGTAGTTAATCTGGACTGTGTTATTATCCTGCTGCACACCTCTTCTTCCTCATTCCTTCAGGAGATGAATATGGCCTGGAATTTCTATTAGTAAAATAAACTTGACTTACAAGTTCATTCAGGATCTAAGATGAATGAAACAAAGGTCAGGACAAAGAAGGGACACTAGGACTCTCAGTAAGAGTTGCTCTGTGATAGATGTTAACCATAGTGCTCACCTAGCAGAGAGGATAATTTAGTTTTGGAAATTCCCGGCAAGAGGCATCTTCGCAAAGAAGGCCTTTTGAATATTAAAGCAGGGGTAGAATTTTGATAACTTTCACCTCACTGGCATTTGCTTTCTATAATACCCTGTTCTCTGTTCTAATTTTTAGGACTTTGTTGTCTGGATGATTTGTGAATATTTGATCTCTTGCCAAGTAGACTGTAAGCACCTCCAGCATAAGGAAAATGCTATCACTCATTCTTTAATCCTCTAAAAAACTGAGGACAGGTATTTACATATGGTAAATACTTGGTAAGTACCCCTTGAGTGAATGAATGAATTTCATGTCCACTAATATTTTGAATTTAAAACTTGATGGCTTTGTTTATTAGGTTGAAAGGAAATTGTCTTCCACTATTCCAGAATGTCAAATGCAAGTCTTAGCATTCTTCCTCATGGTTATGTAAGCTTATGTATAAGCTTGGGTCTTCCTTGATGCTTGTTATTTCCAGGCTAAAAATAATTTTTGCAAAATTCTCATAAAATTTTAGAATTTTCTTACAATGTTAACTTCTCTAGTTAACAATGATTGATTTACTCTGAGCTATCTGGCCCTACATCCTCTCACATACATGTACAAGCACATACACACACACACATATATCCCCAAAAGGGGGACATATTGGGTTCCTTGTCTCTGGGACTCAAAGCCAGAGCCTCTTTATTCCTTACTCAGAGATTGTCCTTGAACAAGAAGGGTGTGTCTGTGTTATCTCTTCCCTCAGTTCTCTCACAGTGGTGAATGGAATTCTCTGGCCACCCATTTTAGTTCTTGGCCTTTGCATGGTGAAATAAAGGCTGGCTGTAGGAAGTATTTAGGAGAGGTAATGTGGTTGTCATAGAAAAAGCATGGGCTTTGAGTGAAAGTTAGATTTAAATTCCAGCTCCTCTATGAAGTTGTTTTGAGACTTTGTACTTTCTGGGCTTTTATTTCTTCATTTGTAACAGAAGAATATAGTCTCTACTTCAAAGTGTTGTTTAAAGAGCTAAATAAAATAATGAACTTAAAGTGGCTGGCTTATGGTGGACATTTTATAAATGGTAGCTACTACTAATAAAAAGAAACAAATTTGCAGTAGAAAAATTATGGCTTCATCATACTCTAAAAGGAACAGGTAATTTTTTTTACTACAACAGTATCTATTATCATTCATCAGTCTCATTTAAGTTCTCTCTGGCCTCTGATTCACAGTAAATCTTTTAAAAATAAGAGCAGGCACTCACAGTCCTCTTGTCATCACCTCCTATTAATTCTGTAGCCCCCGGACAGATTGGGCTTCTGGCCCCATCCATTTTCTGAAACTGCCTCTTTTCAGGGAAGTCCTTATTGCCAAATCCAAGAGACTCTTGTAGGTCTCAACCCCTGTGCAGCATTTGATACTATCGGCCACACTACCCTTTCAGGAAAGTGTTCCCCTTTTCTCCTTAGGACTACCATATTCTTTTGGCTTTCCTTCCACTTTTCTAGATGCTTCACAGCCTCCTTTCACATCTCTTCCTTTTGTTACTCTTTTTTTTCCCTTGCTCTGTCACCCCATGTAGATAGAGTGCAGTGGTGTCATTGTAGCTTACTGCAACCTCCAGCTCCTGGGCTCAAGTGATCCTCCTGCCTCAGCCTCCTGTGTAGCTGGAATTCATGCTACAATGCCCGCACACACCACAACACCTGGCTAATTTTTCTATTTTTAGTAGAGACAGGGTCTTGCTTGTGCTCAGGCTGGTCTTGAACTCCTGACCTCAAGTGATCCTCCCACCTCAGCTTCCCAGAGTTCTAGGATTATAGGTGTGAGCCACCACACCTGGCCTTTGGGTCACTCTTAAATGGCAGTATTCTTTAAGGTTCTTTCCTGGATCCTCTCCTCTTCTATGCTCATCAGTAAATTAGCCTGTCTTCAATTGCCATCTTTAGGCTAAACTAATGATTTCCCACGTATATCTCCAGCTCGTCTTTCTCCAGAAACATAGACCTGTATATTCAATCAACCTCTGGACTTCACTGTCTCCTTGCATGTCCCATGGGTACCTCACACTTTAACTGTTCAAAGTGGAATCAGTCATCTTCCCATCTTTCTTATTCCTTTTTGGGCTGCTATAATAGAATATGTAAGAATGTAATTTATGAAGAACAGAAGTTTATTCTCTCACAGCTCTGGAGGCTGGGAAATCCAGGATTAAGGTGCCAACATCTGATCTGGTGAGGGCCTTCTTACTGTATCCTCATGTGGCAGAAGGCAGGAGGGCAAGAGAGAGAGCCTGCTCCTGAAAGCCCTTTTTATACCAGCATTAATCCATTTAAGGTTAGGGGACCCTTCATTCCTCAACACTTCCCACTAGGCCTCACCTCCCAATACTGTTGATTTGGGGATTAAATTTCCAACATGAATTTTTGGTGACACATTCAATCCATTGCACCTTTCTCATCAACCTCAACTCCTATGCTCTGTAGCCTAATGACTGGCACCACCATCCATTCCTTCCAGTTGCTAAAGCCAGAAATCTGGGAGTCAACTTGTTTCTTCCCCCACCCTTAGGCCCCATATCTCATTAACCACCAAGTTCTGTCAACTCTGTCTCCTTAATATTCCAATAAGTGGTTATATTCTTTTTATTCCTTTTACTACTACTTTTGCCTAGGCTATCCATTAACTGTCTTTCTTCTTCTGTCTTATCCTGCTAGTGCATTTTTCACCATGCAGCCCCAGTCCAGTGATCTTTCTAAATATAACTTTTATGATGTTGGTCTCCTATACACAATACTTTAATTATCTTTCATTACCCTCAGGAAAAAGTACAAATGCTTTGGTCCTGCTTAGAAGCCCTTTTAGTGATCTGATACCCATCTTCCTTACTAACATCATCCCTTCCTTAGCTTGTTGCCTCTTCTTCACTCTTACTCTATTCTTCTCTTTCCCTCCCAATCTCCCACCTCCATCCCAATATATTAAATACTGGATGTTCCCTGAGCTCACCAAACTCTTCACTTTGGGTCTTTGCACATGCTTTCTTTCTTAACTATCTCTTCATCTGGCTAACTCCTAATGTCATTCAGAAATCATCTTAGGTGTCATCTCCTTCAAGAAGTCTCTGCTAGTTTAGTTAGTAATAATGTACAAATGCTGATTCCATAATTGTAATAACGGTACCACTGTAATATATGATGTTAATACTAGGGGAGATTGGGCCTAGGGGTGTATGGGAGTCTCTGTACTATCTTTGCAGCATTGCTGTAAATCTTAAACAATTCTAAATAAAGAGATCATTTTTTAAAAGTCTCTACTAGCCCTCCTGTGCTGGCTTAGCTGCTGCTTCTGTGTGTCTAAAAGGCCTGTATCTACTGGTGTCCAAGTATCAAAGCACTTAGCATAATATCTTGCCATTGTCTCTGTGTCTGTCTCCTCCACTGAAAAAGAATATGAATCATTGTCTTCTCATTTTTGTATCTCTGATGCTAGCATAGTACCTAGCAAATGAGAACTGTTGAGTGTCTCCTAAGTAAATGTTTGCTGTTAAATTAGTTGATTTTAGGGAGCAGCACTAAAGCTTTTGTTTTAGGGTAAACCTAAAATTATAGGACAAAAGAATTTAAAGGTCCCAGACATTATAAATGATTTGTAGGCTCTGCTTACTCCTCAGCATGACATACTTGGCAGACTTGCAGTGATGGATATGTTTGAACATCCCTACACACTGTTTATGTTTTCAAGAGAGCCCTATGACACTTGTTCCTCTGCGGGTAAAAAGCCCCAGGCCAACTGCGCTAGGTTAGTTCACTCCAGGTGAGCCTCACTGGCTGTGATCAAATCCCAGGAGGGTGTGGACTGCCTGAGTGCAGGATAGCCAACTAGGGCAGAGAGCGAAAGAACCGGTTGGAAGAACAATGACACCACAGGGAGATGAATCTTCAGTTTAGCAATTCCAGTCCCAGTTCTTGCATTAATGAGCTGTGTGACCTTGGACAAGTGTCTAACTCTTTGTAGTCTCCAGAGTCCATATTTGTAAAATGAGGGCTTGGATTGGCTGGTCTCTAAAGTCTCTCCCAGGATTGATGCTCTGGGATTCTATGAGCAGCGTGAAGACTGTAGATACCAGTGGAAGGAAGAAGGTAAGTGTGTATTAGGAGAATGTGACAACTGAACCATTGGTTCCCAGTCAGTAGAAGTGTTCAGCAAAAAGAAACCAAGCTAGGACAGAGATTTGTATAAGCCATCCTGGAAGTAGAGACCTCTGGGGTATAATAGCTCATCATTGTGTTTTAAGGCTTTAACTCAGGTCCATCAGAAGGAAGCATTTTCCGGGATTTGAATGGGGGAGGTGGGTGGCAGAGCAGTGGTAATTTTCACTTAATAGGATGCCTATTTGGGGGGGAAAGTCTTTATGTTAATTGGCCGGTTGTTTTGAGTATTTGCTTTGCAGTGAAATTATCCAAAATTTAAGTGTTGGATATGATGCAAGGAGTATCAGCTGGAATTTGTCTGGGACAGGTGTGACAGCAATGAGGTGCTTTTGACTGGAACTTTTAAGTGGGTGAATTAAAATTATTTGGAGTTTGAGGCTATGAACTATCAAGTTATAGAAATTCAGAATTGTCTTAATCCAAATGAAAAAAAAATTCTAGCTTATTTTGAATTTTACCTTTCTTAACTGGGTGGTAGTGGCTTTGGTAATTATATTAAAGATTCCTTGGGAAGCACAAAGAAAAGTATATATTTGCCTAGCTGAAAAAATATGTCATAACCAATCATTGCTAGTTAAGAAGATCCAGTACCTGGTAGAGAACTTAGGGTGAGTAGAGAAGAAAATAACATTACAATTGTTAAAAATCCTAGAAAGATTCTTTTTGTTTACTGTTTACTGGTACCAGAATTTCTGAGAGGTGGGTGGAAACCCCCCACCTTTGTCCTTGAAAGAACTGGAAGTATGTAGTCACAAGGTATGCACAGGCTCTTGGCTCAGGGCAACTCCTTTCAAAGTTGATTCTTCTTCTGTGCTAAGTTTTTTCTCCTTCTTAGAAAAATAGTTACGTAACGATTCACTTGGGTTCAGGGAAGGTAGATAATCAGTTAACCTCTTAAAGGTTTTGGACTTAAATCCTAGTGGACAAGGCATCAACCAAGGCACTAGTGTAGAGATGTATGTCCTTCTTGGCCCTCAGTATCAAGGTGAGACAGGAGCAAAGAAAAGACCCTCCTGAGAAATGATGGAACCAGCCAGAAACCAGGAAGAATGAATGGAAATGTAGGGGCCTCAGG